ACCCTAAATGAAGAGGTGCTGGTGGCAGGAACGCATGACTTCCCACAGGTGTGGAAAGTTCCGTCAGAGTGTGGCCGTTTGGGTCCCCCGGCTGGCTGAGCTAAGGTCGGCTGTTACGACGCCAGGCTGTTCGGACAGGCTGGACGTCGGCCGTTACGACGCCAGACTTTTCGGACAGGCTGGACGTGGACCGTTGCAACCCCAGGCTGTTTGGACAGCCTGTACGTCGGTCGTTACGACGTCAGGCTGTTCGGACAGGCTGGACGTCGGCCGTTACGACGCCAGGCTGTTTTGACAGGCTGGACGTGTACCGTTACAACCCCAGGCTGTTTGGACAGTCTGCACGTCGGTCGTTACGACGTCGGGCTGTTCGGACAGGCTGGACGTTGGCCGTTACGACGCCAGACTTTTCGGACAGGCTGGACGTGGACCGTTACAACCCCAGGCTGTTTGGACGGTCTGTACGTCGGTCGTTACGACGTCGGGCTGTTCGGACAGGCTGGACGTCGGCCGTTACGACGCCAGGCTGTTTGGACAGGCCGGACGTGGACCGTTACAACTCCAGGCTGTTTGGACAGTCTGGACGTCGGTCGTTACGACGTCGGGCTGTTCGGACAGGCTGGAGGTCGGCCGTTACGACGCCAGACTCTTCGGACAGGCTGGACGTCGGCCGTTACGGCGCCAGGCTGTTCGGACAGGTTGGACTGTCACTGGGTGCACGACTCGGTGCAGATGTGCCACTATCCGGCATGAGTATCAACACTGCTGCCTGTCGGACGCGGATGGACCGGTCAGCGTGACTTTGGAGCTTACCGCTGCCATCGTTCTCGGCAGTGCACGGGTCAGTTCTTAGACTCCGCGGTATGGCTCCGCTGATGCGATACTTGCCTGAATTTTCCAAGCATGAGCCATCCAGTGAAAACCATCTTAAAGGTCTGAACCGCTGTCCACTTGAGCAGGCTGGAGCAGTCTGTGTCTGATCCGTTGCCCGCTGGAGCCGTTCGGAGCAGGCTGTGTCTAATGCGTTGTCCGCTGGGGCCGGTCGGAGCAAGCTGTGTCTAATCCGTTATCCGCTGGGGCAGGTTGGAGCAGTCTGTGCCTGATCTGTTATCCGCTGGGGCGGGTTGGAACAAGCTGTTTCCGACCATCGTTGGGTTGCTGAAGTACGTTGGTGGTGGGGTCGGCCCGACGTCTGACTCCCCCCGCCCAGCCCTGGCGACCTGACCCAACGTCTGACTCTTCTCGCCCAGCCCTGGCGACCCGACCCGACGTCTGACTCCTCTCGCCCAGCCCAGGCGACCCGACCGGACGTCTGACTCCTCCGCCCAGCCCTGGCGACCTCGCCATCGGTCGTCGCGGCGTCCACGTCGTTGTCGACCCTATTTCTGCCGCCGACGCCAACGCGGCCGGGCCCGCGTGACGGCGACGGCGGCGCCACGGCTGGCCGCGTGCTATGGGGTCGGCGCGGCACGTGGCGTCGTCGGCGTGTGACGCTGGTGGCGCCACCGGCCGCGGCCCCGTGCCAGGCGGGCGGGGCGGGGGAGGGGTCAGAGGCGTCGTTACCGCTGGCTCGCGGAGCCGAGGCGGCCGCGCCGCCGCCACGTCAGTGTTGTGGCTGGAGCTCACACAACTGCCGGCTGGTAACCGCGCAGCCAGGGGTGCAGTGGGCGCGTACCGGCAAATCATGAAAGAAAACGCCCTCTGTTGGAGGTTAAATTATATTAAATTTGGACTGTTCCGTCTTTACTGATACCTGGGGGCGACAAAATTGACAGTTCCCTTAGCTTTTGATTTAACCTTACCAAGCATGCAGCCTGCGAGCCTCATGCAATCCACGTATGGTCAAGAAAATAACGGACATTGGGTTGCTAAAGGGAGATCATGGCTCATCTAACATTATCTGCACTAAAGGCTAAACGCTGTTTTCAGGGACATGTTTGGCGCATGGATGCTGGTGACAGCTAGGTCAACTTAAAGAATTAATTTAAATAAGCTAGGTGAACGTAAATATCGTCTTCCCTGCAGACTGAATTGCTCAGTTTTGCAAGCACAAATTGGTGTTTACATCATGCCTCCCGGTTCATGCTTATGCTTGTGCTATAATAATGGTTGTTTGCCCAAACAAGTTGAGTCGCGTAGGTCATCGCGATAATAAAACATTCCTGCCTTTTCTGCTATATTAGCTCTTTCTCATGCAGTGGAAATGGGCGACTATTTTTCCCGTTTGGCAGATCTGCAGGCCTGACAGATTTATATGTTGCGCTGCGCCTGGCAGGCCGCACCACTCGCGCGCTCGGACAACTGCACCCATGTACCCCAGCTGAGCCACGTGACCCCGACCTGGTCTCGACGAGGCCGACCATCCCTGGGGAGAGTATGAGGCAGACCAACTGCCTGTAAACCCGACGTCATCCAAATCGGAGCGTAGTGTTGCCAAGTGACCGGCATCTGGGGCGTGGCGTCCCTGTCCTAGCATGTGTTGGCAGCATGTATCCCGGCCAGCCACCGCCGGTCCTTGACCTAACAGTGTTAAGATTCCGGGAGCACATGGCCTCCAGTTATAACGTGAATCTCGTTTCTAATGTTTTCGCCAGGTTTTGTTTGGCATTGCGACCTATTCTGCATGATGGCGTTTGCATAGGCCGACTTCATATCAATAGTGCCCGAGGTCCATCCCCATTACATACCGTACGTTTCCACCCTAGTGGCTGCGAATATGAAATGTTATGCACAGGGCAAAGGATCAGCCCCACCATGCAAGTATCATCCAGCTGTATTTTGTGATAAGCGAGGAGGTGTCTGATCCACTGAATCGGCTTTTCATCCGCCGCCAACGCAGATCAGTGTCATGCTGCGCAGCGCGAGCGCCCGACTCACCTCGCCCGAACACTGCGTCACGAATGGTGGCCGCGGAGCCGTGTCCACGGTACGCGTGCGCCCGGTGTCAGCACGTACAAAGTCAGACGGACGGCGACGCCACAGATGGGTTAAGGTGGCAGGATCGAGCGAATGAAAGCGGGAGTCTGCCGTGAAAGTTAGGAAATGACGCTTATTATGCACGCGTAACTAGAAAAGCGGCGTGCGTGATCCCTTTCGTGCCGTTCTGCGTGCGTAGGTATGAAACACAATGGAGTGTTGTCCAATGTGCTTCCGATTGGTCTCATATCTCATGTTAATGATAACGCCGATCAACTTGTAAATCACCTATAATAATAACGGGCAAATGACATAATTATGATACTAATCACACTAACTGTTTACTCATGCCAAGATGCCCCGCAGCGACTGAAGGGACAGTAGGCAGCGACCCTGCTCTTCGACCTCCGCCTTTGTCCGCGCCAATCCGGGCTCATATCCTCCAGATTCGGCGCCGCGCTGATGCCTGTCCCGCCGGGCGCCAGCGGTGTCAATGCGCCGTTGGCTGCAGCTGCAGCGGACCGCTGCGCCTCGCCGGGTGGCGGTCACCGGGGCGCGGCGCAGCGCGCGGATGGGGCGCAGCGTGCCGCGAGCCCGGGGGGCGAGGCGCATTATTCGCGTGCCGGGCGTCAGGCTGTGGCGGCAGACGACAGTCTTCAGAGAAGCAGCCGTAGGTCTCCGGCGCTGACGAGCTCCATGTGACCATTGCGGTGCGAACGCTGCCGATTAAGGCCACCAGCCGTGCGTGAAGTCGGCGGCGCGGCCGGGAGACGCCCCATTTCTCCGGCCGGGGATCTCGCTGGGATGAGTTGCTAACTCACAACCCGACATAACTCAGCGAGAATCGCCATAATGTCACTGTCGGTTGGTTCTGCTCCCTGCCATGTGGTCGACATTTGAGATCCGCGTGTTGCTTAGTGAAGTCATCGCCATTTTAGCAGGGCATTTATAACCGGCGCATTTTGTGGCGTGCTTCGTGCTGCCGTGGCGACGCTATGCGTGAGACGGATTCCATGGTTCGAGGTGAGTCAGTATTAAGATCTTCCGGAAAGCTTGAACCAATAACCCACAACCCGAAAATAGGTGCAATAATGGAACCACACCCGCGAGGCACGCAGCATATCGATCCCTACGCCACAACTCCTTTCTCACTTCGTGAACAGGAAGCGGCTACACGCGATGCGCAGCATAGGTCTAAAAGCATTGTTGGTCATGCCGTACGCGATCCCGAAGGCCAGTTGTGGAGCTGCCGTTCACAACAAGCTTGAAGACACACCTAATTGGAAACTGGATCATACATAAGTGCGTAGTACATCTTTTGTTTCGTCCCGTGTCCTCTGAGTGATGACATGGCCAGTTCGTGAAAGATGTTGCGTGTTCTTGTTCCTTCTGAGAAAACCAACCAGCATTTTCAAGTGGAAGACCAAGTGTTTATTTTTCGTTCCCTATTGCGAAATGGTGCTGGGTCGCGTGCAATGTGCTCGGGAAGTGGACGTCATGAAATATGAGGACACTGGAGATAACCTTCGGTGCAAGCTTCATCTGTATTTCACATCCCTGCATGTGCTTCGGGGATTTGCGGCATTGAACGGTCGTAGAGAAGCGCTTTGGGCGTCAACAAAAACGCATCCTTATGCGTGAATTCCAGCATGAAACATTACACTCCCAACGATTCCTAAGACTGCATAGGTATATTGAGAAGATTGAAAAAATGTCGAGCTGAATTTGGAAAACTTGATCGGGCCACCATGTCAGTTGCAGTCCATGCAGCCAGGCCCCACGAATTCCCTGGCCGCGTGGAGCACACTTGGCCAGAGGTATATGTCGCAGTGCCACAATGCGTTTAGGTGACTACCATGAGATGCGACGTGTGATCATATGACCACCAGCCACACAGCTACAAATGGAACCTCCAAAGAACCTCGCATTCTTTTTCCGTTTGCTTCGTTAATGATCAGCTTGGCTACCGCTCCTGGCAGGCACACGTTTGTCGGGTAAAAATAGACACTGTGATATATATGGAAGCTGAGATATGGCACCCTTCCCGTGCTGTTCGAACAAACCCACAAACGCCTTTTCCCTTGTGTATTGGCGTCACATTTGTCAAAATCATCTGTACGTTGTCAGACACATTTCTACAAAACATTTAGTCCGATACAGCTCGCGAACAGGGAACGCGGCGTGTGGGTTTTAGTCGCATCGGCGGCGCGGGCACCAAAACTACCAGGGGCTTCGTTTACTGGTGTCAGCTGCATCAAGCCAATGTGTTTTCACAGGGCACACGAGTACTCACTACGCAGTAGCTACGCTCAAACGAAACAAGCTTCTGGAGGTGAAATACGCTCCAGCACTCTTAAAACTTGACGGCTTTCTGTGCACATACGCATTGTGCGCGCATTGCACATTGAGCCCGGTGAATGTGGTGGCCAAAATATATTTGCGGTTTACACGTTGCTTTAAAAAACCAAATGTTGTCAGGCTGTTTGGAAGCAATAATACGGACCAGTAGTGCGGGATCCTCACGCCATGTCTTTCGCCATCGTGGTTGGTAGTTGCACACGTCATTTTTGGTTTAGCTGGCGCCAGCAAATATTTACGAAGACCATCTCTGCAATGCATTTGTTGAGATCACGCGATCACCACAACTGGTATTGACATCTCTTGGCCTAAAATTACGAAATAATTTCAGCAGCTTGCTAGTGCCTAAATGCTATGACGCGGACAGCCAGGAAAAAATCGGGAAGCATACTACCAGTTGCGTGGATGAAACGTCCTGCAGTATAATACTTTTGACAACAAGCATTTCAAAATATACTACAAAGATAAACTACCACAGAGGTTGGTCACATAAATGTCGGTGCGCAGTAAAGAACCCACCACTTGTTAAGCAGCTACGCGCCTTAAAAATCAACAACAAAAAGGAGAATATTCATATAAATAGTACAACATGATCAACAAAGCTCTGAACGCATTTTAAAAATGCTCACACGACTGAACATGCTGATCACTTGGGCCATGAATTAATATACGTTCATGCAATGTACCTAACCTATGCACTTTACATGCACCATGACGTGATTCTAGAATTAAAAACTTTCAGACGTACAGACGACAAACGTCCAAGTAATATACGTCATAACAAGCTTAGCTAAGGAAACTCCTTGATTTCACACTCAGAAACTCCTTGGTTTCAGCTGCTCTCAGAATTTCATGTTCTTATCCGCGAAGGATGTGAGTTGTGACCAGTCATGCACACAGCCATACCAAAGCGGTGGCTCTAGGCCACAGGGGCGGGCTTGCTCTTAACGAGACCAGCGAGGGCATGTTGCAAAACATATATCTAGCTCTACGACGAAATGGAAGTCACTATATTTAACACCATTCGCCCATGTACCACATAGAAAATTCAGGATACAAAAGCTCCGAGCACTTAGTAGAGCCTACATTTCGACGAGGACTGTTTCTCATGGGGTTTAATACGTGCCCAACCAACAAACACAAAACGGGACGTAAACGAGCAAACTCATATTGCTATCAATATCTTCTCACTCAGCAAAGAGTCATACTGCTGTCATTTTGTTTGGGTACTGATCATGGACTGACAAAGAAGATTCCGATGGTGCTTGAAAGATAAACGCCATTTAAATGTTGAATATCCTACAAACAAGACAAGTTTTGTCAGTGGTACCAAATGAATATAAAAACGTGTAGACTCATCGAGGAAGCTCCCTTTTGCATCGACGGGCCCTGACAGTGTTCAGTTTCTAATACCACCCCAAAGCCTTTAATCGGAACGACCTGAGGCATGTCAGGGTGGAAATGCTTGGTACGCCATTTCCAAATTAATATTAGAAGCACGTTCGTAAAATAAAAGAATGTAATGAAGACAGATCATCAGATGTGATGAAGACACCCAGATCTTCAGGTTTTGCGAAGTTTTTCGAACGCGAGCAAGATATCATTTTTGGGTCTAACTGACTGATAAGCAATGCTTAAGCTCCTGGTCATCTTTCTAGCCGGTTGACTCGCGTACCACTCGAGCAGCTGTACGTTTAAACGAACAATAGAAGCGGGAAACAAACAATTCTCATGACATGAGCTTGCGGAGATTTCCCGAAGAATGCCGGCGGGTGCTTCCGTAGATGCCCAGCCCACAGATATCACAACCGCTGACTAGAATCAGCGACCGTGCCGCCACAGAGCATCGGGTACATGCACAGTACACACAGTTCTATCACAGCTCACGCACCAGTACGAGAACAGAACGCACCTACAACCGGAACAGGTCGCCAGCGAGTCCACCGCAGCGACACCCGCGCGTGTGGCGTGTGCTTCCGGCGCCGCGGCCCTCCGGGGGAAAATAGGACTACGAGCTCTGCGCTAGTTGGCCTGCTGCTTTGGCAGCAGCTGTCAGTCGTCGGCCAGTTCAAAGTGGAATTTGGCCCTCAAAGGCTGAGTGAGTTCGAGCTGCGACACGGAGGTCACAGTGTTCAGATTGCTGTAGCCAGACTCCTCGATCGTCTCCAGGTCGTTCTGCAAAACAGGAACGGTTATTAGCAGCACATCTGGAGTATAAATTGTCTGCACCTGCTAGGTAGCGGGAAGCGACGGTGCCGAACAGGCTCGTGACCGGAATGAGTGCAGGGTGTGTCCGGAATGGGTGTAGGGTGTGAGGAGGAATTTAGGTTTTGCATGAAAGGCAAGTGAGATCTCGAAATTTGTGGACAGGTCTTTGAATGGGGAAAGTCAGACTCCCCTGTCTTCCCGCCAGGCATATGGTGGACCGAGGCGACATTTGTGAGCCGTACGCTTAAGTTCTTATGCGCTGATATCTCCCATGACAGCCGCAATCATCAATAGTTAGACATGATGCACTGAACATCCAACAGGGTCAGTCAATTCGGAAACAGATGGCCAACGTCTTTTTACCGCACCATCTGTGCTGCGATGTATGTTGGTAGCCCCGACACCTATGCCGTGACGTAATCTTTCGCAGGACATGCACGGGTGGGCATTATGTGATCAAGCATGAGATGGTCAAGTTACAGATTCAGCAGTTGCCAAAATGAGTAGGTCAATAAGTTAATTCAGATTAGACTTTTCTAATGTTCCATACTTCATCATTTGCTCACGGCAACTTCCAAAAATATCCTTGCTCGTAAACCTGATCGACTGAATTCCTTTAAACGGTAGGAAATTGCTCGAAATGACACTAAACGTCACGGTGCGAACTGACTCTGTTAACCGCTGTCGATGCCCAGTGCCTCTACCAGCCAGCTGTGACGGTCCCTGGGTGACGATCCGTAACCAGCTCCAGTGACCACTCATTAAATGTATGCGGCCCGATAGCTCCCAGGTAGGAGCGCCTGCCTTCCCATTGCCCACCCGCGGCAGGTCGGGCTCGACTCGCTTTAGGCTTAAGGTGTCACTATTTTCCCGGCTGCGATGACCTGTGGCTGGTGTCAGCGGCCGTGCCACACGTTAGGGGACGTCAGAGGGCAGAGGGATCAAGCGTCGCCGCAGATTCAGCTTTTGTCGCAAAATTCTGCGTTGATTCGGAATTTCACGGTCGGTGGAGGGGCTGAGGGCTTCCACAACAAGCACTGCATAGCATGGGCTCTCGTCACAGACATCCAACCGATCAAAAGGTTTAGACTAAACCTGGATGACAAAATTAGAACTCGCAGTGAACCTACCGAGTGACCGCCTCCGGAAAGCATCGTTACCCATCACCCACTTCCGCTAATCGCTGAGGCTAATCGTTCAGCTCCGATAACCAAAGGCTAGCTGACCAGCCCAGGTGAATGCGACCAGCGCTGCCGACATCGTCTGTGTCATGGTCCCGTCTTACTCACGTCGCAGTGCATCTTGGACTCCCGCGCGATCATCGGGAGGGTGGAGGAGGCGGTGCCGACCCGACGCAGCTCCGCTTCAGACACCTCGTCGTCCGTCGTCAGCAGCTTGCCCTGGCACTTGCGCACGAAGAGGACGACGAAGGGCGGCAGGATGCCGGCAATGGCCAGCAGGGCAGCAACAGCGAGCGCGAAGTCCGGGTACTCCCGCGTCACGGTCTCCCCCTGTCGGCGCGGCGACGCCGTTCAGGAGGGGCACGAGCGCGCGGGGTCAGGGGGAGGAGGAGGGCCTGGGCACAGGAGCCTGCAGTTACAGACACGGGCCCGGCAGACGCGACAGCGCAAATGTTGTGGAAGGCCAGCGCCATTTTACCCACCCGAGGCAAAAATCCCCTGCGAGCGATTGGGTGAAATGAATCGGACAAATGGATCAGTACTGCAAACGCTGACAGCAGCACGTAGAAGACTCAAAGACAGTGGGGGTTTAAGCCAACATTTTCTCTGTGATCTTTGTCACTGTTGACCCTGGTGTCCTCAGATAGGGTCATGCATTTATTTTTAGTTTCTTGGCGCCAAAGGCTCGTCGCCTCGATTTATTCCCGAATTTTGAATGTTTTTCGAAGTCAGTTATAGGTTTACAAATAGTACGGCTAAATTTTGACGCACGAGCGCCGACTGTCAGGTTCCACCCCAGGAGGGCACAGCCATGGCCAGTGATCCGCACGGCCTAAACCACGGGATGTGTATTGGCAGCTCATACAAGTGAAGACTTAGCTCCAGCAATGCTCGATTGCAAATAAATGAGGGAACAGTAGGCAGCAGCTCCATCACCAACCCATGCCGGCAGTTGACGCAGCGTAGCGGAATCAGAGTCTCACCAGATGGCGGTCCCAGGCTGGGTAGGTGGGTCGGTTCATGAACCGGAAGACGACTGAAGCTACCAGGACGGTGGCCATGACCAGGGGAGAGATGTAGTTCCAGCAGAGCTTCCAGAACAGGCCCGGCCTCTCGCCCGTCATCTCCTCAATGTCAAGCGCAAACCTGACCGACAGGCAGCACGGTGACAGACTGACACCGTGACAGAATGGGCTGCCACTGACATTCTTGGCGATGAGCAGCCAGACGTGTGATGTGGGGATGCATGGAGCTGGAATACCTGACAGCCAGGGGACGCTGTGACATGGTGCTTTGACATCATGAGTGCGGCATAGCAAAGAGATGCAGTGGTCGGACATTGTAACGCGATAATCTGACATGACCTGACACCGTGGACAAACCCTTGGGTGGAGGATTGCCCCGATTTGGAGGAATTTTCCTCCTTCCCCACTCGTCACTCCCTTGAGTTTGTTTTTATTCCTCCAATATTTGATTAACATCATCCAAAGGTTATCAGAACAATACAAATAAAGGTTTTCGAGATAATCTGACCTTTTCGTTCACATATTAATTTTGATGAGACCCTCCTGTCAGCAGCTACTGTATTGTTCGACAACACCTGATACAAAGTATTAGTTCAGATGCGATCATGACTCGGGCGCGTGTCCTCATCAGTAATGCAACCTTTCGCGTAACGTCCAAGGCCGGATATTACACGCTGTCCGGAATATGGTGTAGAAAATGACACAATGACACCACCTCCGACGACGATAAAAGACAGAATGATCATTCTGCTCATTAGCAGATGTTGCCACATAATGAGCCGACAATGCGACGGAGCGGGCAGAAATTTCGAGTCGCTGCGCAGTGATGAAGTGACGTTGATTCGACTTTCACAACACAAACAGCTGATAACGTTACACAGTCAGCTGAGGTGCAGCCGTAAGGCGGTAGTTTTGACTTGTAACACAGTGAGCTGACATTGTTACAGTGAGCTTACGTTGTGCGCACTGAGCTGCACTGGGGCGGCAGACACGCACAATTTTGGAGCTCTCCCAACCGGACAACTACCCAGGGTAGTTTACGTGTCCTGATTCTAGCAGTAGGCACTCATTAACTGAAGTGTTCGAGCAGTGTGAATGTTGCCAGAGCTGTACACAGGCCCCACTCAGTAGCATTCATTTGCAACAAATCGTGTCTGTTATTTATCGGCCACAGCAGGGGCTGAAAACCAAAGACGTCGGGCTCAGCTGTCTACGTTGAACAGCACAGGTGGCGGGCAGACGTTGTGAGCGTCGTAGTCAGTACAAAGGCTTTCCTCATCAAGCTCGCCATTTGTGTGGCTTTTCGTCTGCACCGGTCAGGGAGGCACCGGCCGAGAAGCCATGCAGGAGTCAGCCTGATCCTGCCGTTAAACCCCGTGCCCGGTCGTGTTTGGGGTGATGGTGTTGGAGGGGAGGGGAGAGGGCAGGACAATCGTGGCATTTTAGTTCGATCGCACTCAAAATCGTGGCAATTGTTTGTTGTAGTCAATTTCTTACATTTGACACTGTTGAGGCAAAACTTTAAAAACCGAACACAAAGAAACGTCCAGACAAAGAGCTCCATACTGACAAAACATCAGTTTGCTCACTTTTTGTAGCCGTAGACGTAACAGACAGCTAGCATCTCCATGAGGGCGATAAAGACCAGACCCATGGTGCCGGCAAACGAGTCGAACAGCTTAAGCCAGTACTCGCCGGCTCCAGTGGTGAAGATGAGCCCGATCAGAAAGCAGGTCACGCAGATGACACCTGGAAGCACGGAGGCCAAACTCTGTCAGCTGAGCGTAAACAACGGGGAGACAAGTTTCAACAACATTCGCGAGCGTGATTGTCGTAAACGTGACCTACAGGTCTGGGCCAGGCTGGTCCTCATGATCGCCGATTTACGGGGGCGGTGAGGGTTAAATTTGTCTAAACTAATGTAACGACTGTCGTGCGGGCGAGGGTAATGGGCCACCTGCACTCCAGCCAAAGGCAGCGCTCATGTTAAACAACCAGCCTTCGGAGCCGCCGACAGCTGCTCACCGCTCAGCACCGACTTGGAGATGTTCCTGAAGAGCTTGATGTCGAACACGGTGGTGATGACGCCTTCCATAGTTCCGAACTGGGAGCCGAGGCCCAGGGAGATGAGCATGAGGAAGAAGCAGATGGCCCAGAACGGCGCTCCCGGCAGCTCCACGATGGCTTGGGTGAAGACGATAAACGCCAGCCCCGTGCCCTCGGCCGCCTGAGGGGAGGTCAGAGGTCAGCCGGTGACGCCGGCATCGAGCCAGCGTGCTGGCTGGATTCGTCTGGTTATTGATGGGAGCTTCAGCAGAGCACATAAAATATAGAGCAATTCCACCGGAAGGGACGGCGCCCGGACGATGGCCGCCGGCCCGTCATGGACAGAGGCCTGCCGTGGCTGACTTGGCGCCGCGGCTGGAGTTGACAGTCAGCGTTATGTAATACGAGGAGATGGGGGTGTGTGCCTTACGGTCCAAGTGACCTCGCTTTGATTGCTTGGCAAGAGGCGGCTTTGGTCGGAGCTCCAGAAAGCTGAGTCAAGCGCGGTTTGTATCTGTGTTCTGTCCCATGTCACACCATGAGATGAACATTGCGTTGTTTTCAGAACCGAGGAAGCTGCTCCATACCTAATCCACGTCCGGCACTTCTTACTGAGCCCAACGGAAGCAATACACACATATATGTGAAAGGAGAAAGGCACGGCCATGGGTGTAGTTTTCTATTCAGCTGGGTGGGGGTGGGGGTTGATCCGACCCCTCAAACTTAAAGAAGAAAGAAAGCAAAGCCGGGGTAGCCCCGCCTTTTTCATCTTTCCACTGTTTACCAAAATTTGTAAGGAACTTTATTCATGGGCGCGGTGTTTTAAGCTGGCTGGCCAGCCGCCGGTAACCACGTGGTCATCACTGTACTCAACAGAGTTCAACAGTTGAGTCCGCTTGAAGGCCGTCGGGCCTTGACAGGCGCATGCTTGACACCACCCCATGGGTGCACGTCCTCAGCCAGCTATCCATAAATGTTTGTAAATGCTTCGATTGAGTTCACGGAATGGCATGCCGTCTGCGCTCCAGCGTCAGCATTGCGTCGCCGTTCCGCGCGGGACACGCAGCCACGTGGCTCTGGTACGAGCGCACGGAGGGTGACGTGCAGGCGCCGCCCCTGGCTGCCGAGCCGCCGGATTCGTCCGTCTCCCGGTCATCCGAGCTGGTGGGGTTTGTTGCAGCTGGCCGAGGTCAAACGGCGGCGAAATCGGAGCCGCCGGTCGGCTCCGGTTACACCAAATGCCCAGCATCCCCGGCAACGGCGTCTAGATCCTCTAAATATTTGGCGCCCGGTTGGATGACGACCAGGGCTGGGCCTTGCCCACAGTCGGCGGCGGCCTCTATGTTTACCCGGCCTCGCCGCCCCCGGAGACCGCCCCTCCCTCTCACCCCCGCCACCGTCACTGCCACCGGCGGTCACCGGGGAGGTTCAAGTTCAGGGCTCTGACTGCCTTCCACCGCCGCCAGGTTTGGTCGGACGGCAGATCGCCCGGGGACTCCGTCCCCATAGCGTTCAACGACTAACGAACGCCACCAGGAAGCGGCGGCAGGAAATAAAATCCCGTTTTGCCTTGGCGACATGGTGAATGGCCAAAAGACGGGGTGTAAAAGGTGGAACATGGCGGGCAGGGATGGCACCCCCCCCCCCCCCTCTCTCTGCGTTCCCCCAGACAGTGTAGAACATTGGTCCTGCTGCAGTAGTCAGGTGTGGTAATGGGGAGGATTGCCTTCCCATGTCTTACCCACCTGGTTCAGCTGGTTCTCGAGGCTGCAGTTGTGCTGAGGAATTACCTCTGAGAGGTTGTGGGCCAGCTCGTGCCTGTAACACAGACATGAGCCTGATGAGGATGCCGCATCGTCCATCGATGTAGGGTAAAAAGATAACAAGTTAACTGGTTGCGGCAGGTTATGTCGGCTGGAAACAATGGGTGTTAAATTCAAACAAAAAGGCGAGAACGTTTACCTCCGAGCAAAAAACGCACTAGCTTTCCACGGTGGATGCGTCCAATCCGCGAAGGCTTTCGGCGGAGACACAACGGTCAGAGAACGCTTTGCACGGTCTCAGTTGGCTGAGTTGTTATCGTTCTCTGATGTCAAGACATGTTCTTTTTATAAACCTTGGCTCTGAAATCGCGAAGATTTCCAAAGTACATATACGGATTCATGACCAATGGATTACAACTCGCTATTAATAGAATGGAGCCCTACCACGTACTGCTAGTTAGTTCCCGTTACAGCGCTAACTTTCGTATTGAGTAGATGGCACCATTTTCATTACGTCCTGATGACTCAAAACTTACAGTTGAACAGAAATCACTTCGGTAAAAGTTTATTATCCGTTCAAATTTTGCGGATTATTCCTCCTCAACGAACGACAGGTGACCCTAATATTGATGCTAATGAGGACCAAATGACAACTACGCGAGACAGCTCAGGGCTGTGTGTTCCTATCGAATCAAGCCAGGTCTATGATCCCACCAGTCTAAGTGCAGACAAGAAGCGGCGAGCCACAAATCAAGGTTCACTCACAGATGAATGCACTTCTCGTGGTTGACGACGGCCTTGAAACCGAGCACGGAGAAGATGACGATGGAGGCGAAGACGGACGTCGTGCAGTTGGTGATGGACACGACGAGCGCGTCCTTGCGACAGTTGTTCTTCGGCGGGTTGTACGAGGCGTAGGCGATCAGCGAGCCGAAGCCGAGGCCCAGCGAGTAGAAGATCTGGGTGGCGGCGTCCATCCACACGGTAGGGTCCTTCAGACGGTCCAGCTGGGGGGGGGGGGGGGGCAGCATGCCTGAGTGAGGTCACGGTTCAGCGGTCGGTGCAGACGGCTGGCGGGCAGTAAGCTTCTGCCCGCCAAATGTCAATCAGAGACCGAGCGAGATGTATGCAGACATCATCTGCACGAATGACTACCGTCTGTGTAGTGTGAGCGACCAGGAGTGTGACAAGAGCCAGAGACGGGCCGGAGGCGTAAATAACCAAAGAGGATAGACCGACTGCTAGGCCAACATTATCGAGCCTATTAATCGAAGATGAGTGGCCATCAAATGGGAAGTGGTCCCCAAATTATTGAGTGCTAGTCCTGGGCATTGTGGAGACGGCTTACGAGTTGAAATGTCAGTGATTCAAAGCAGTGAACGAGCCTTCTAGTGGGCGACCACCCCGAACCATAGCCAACATTTCAGTCAGGACGGACTGGGCGGTGTCTAGTTGGTAGTCAGTCTCGAACAGCAGGTGTGTGGGGGGGGGGGGGGGGAGGGCAGACCATGACCAGACAGGTTTACATCACGGAGCAGACAGGTTCGGTCTACTCGGGGTAGTTAATGGGTCACGTGGTCACGTTAATGGTCCCTGGGTCATGCCCAGTGGACCAGCCACGCCTGTTTGTTCTGCAATTTGCCGGTCCGCGGCTAACTGAGTGCCGGCCCGGCCAAGCGTCGCACGTGGCCGGCGCCGACGCGGCCTCCGCAGCACCTCCTGCATGACCCCCTCTGGCAGGAGGACTCATAATCGCCCGCTCCCCGTCCATCGATCCCAGGCACGACCTGGCACCGCGCCAGCCAGACAAGTGCGACACAGCCGCCGGCTATATTGACGGCCTGGTGACGTCAGTCGAGCCTGGCGTCCCATTGGTCCACCGGAGGGTGTGCTGGAGGAGGGGCGCCGCTATTTCGGCGCCTCCCACGTAGGTCGTATTAACGGGGACGGCTTGTGCGCAGTAGAACTTCGTCGCCGTCTCGTGACTCGTAAGCTCTTAATCAGTTCCGGCGCTGGTGCGTGGTGCGTCTTTTTCGGCCATAGTTACCAGAAAACCATTGCGAAGGATTATTTCATATTTTACTGCGGTGGTAGCATTGTGCAATCGCTGCGGGTTAGATAACGGTCATCGACGGATGTGCACGCAGGCTATCGTAGCGGTTAGCGATAACCAATATCATGTAAGCTACAACCACTACGTCATGATAGTGCCCCTTCTATCGCACACAGCAGCTGGAAAATGGAACACGCTGCATTTCAGCAGAGATTTTATCCATGCATGCCTTTTGGCGAGGCATAGCATAACATTCTGGTATGCTCTTATGCTGACGGTAAACAAACGCTATCTGCGAAAAGGCCTCAAAAAGGGGGAGCTCCGAGCATTTCGTTGATCTCGAGGGAGTCATAACGCACGTTCAGCGTGCGATGTAATGTTGCTCCAAAGCCTGGCCCTCTACCCAGGTCTGCAAGTCGCGAATGAGAAAAGAGCGGTCATGACGCCCCAGGGATCGTTGCATTCTAGCTGTTGTGAACGTTCTGGGAGCCGATCCTATCCGGAGCGTAGGGGCGGCGCGGCGCAGTAGACGGTCAATACACTGTTCTCCGAACAACGTCCAGGGTTCACTCTCATGAAGGTACCGCCTGTATTGGTGCCGTCGGAGTCTTGTCTGAGGGTGGCAGAAATCAAATGGTAAAACTGCATTCGCAGACAGTTCGAATCTGTTTACTTGGTTTGGCAACACCCCCGCGAAACGTCTGCAGAAACCGATGGTGACAGGGACCACACTCCTCCAGAGACTCAGGGTCCCTGTTTACAATGCAAAGCTATTGACAATAGTGGCGCCTCTGGTTGTAAATAAATCTCGCGCTATTGGCAGCAAAAACGCGGTTCCATCCGACAGATGGCAGCACCCCGCGAGCGAAGGAGGCCGGCCAGGTGCCGCCACATTCTGGAGCCCAATCTGCCGCTAAACGCTGTTTTTTCTCATTTGGGTGATGTTCACGTCCAGTTCACACGAGTGTACCAAATCTCATTGAACCAAACATTCCCCAAGCTTGGATACAGACGTTATTCCTACGATCTACTAAATATTCGATCAAAACCTGTGCAACTACCGGACAGGAGCACGAGGCAATTTATCCAGGAAACAAAAACAGCTGAGGAATCTAACACAACCAGGCAACAGAAGCAAGATAGAAGCTTCTACTTACGCGGACCTGAATGGGCTATAAGATTCGTCACCTACAGTTGCTGCTCTCCCTTCAAGTAAACATCGATCGCCAGATTCAAAGAACCCTACCTGCACGTGAAGCGTTACACCTGCACGCTAAGCGTAAAGCCTGCACGTTAAGCGCAGGGTACCGCCTGCTGTTTTAATTACCTTCGGGTAGAGCATGTGCTTCAGTCCGACGCCGGCTCCCTCCAACGTTACGGCCCGGAAGAAGAAAATGGTCAGCATCAGGTACGGGAACGTCGCTGTGAAGTAAACCACCTGCGGACAGACACCGGGCTCAGTCGAGTTTAGTCAGCGAATAGTCACCGGTGAAGTCACAGGCATCCCGTCGTCAATCTGTTATTAATTGCCGCATTTTAATTGCATGAATTGAATGGCATACCAGTATGTAGAGACCGGCAATCACCGGCTCAGATATGCCTGATGATGGCCGTTCATAAAGCACAGCAATCAAAAACAGGTGAAATACTACTGCTGTAAACATACACATCGCGTGTATAGCGTTTCCTTGACTACAAGCAAGCAATAATATCATCTGCACTCACGTGGTAATAGAAGGCAGCACACCTTCAAGTTCTCGTCCCCCAGCAACTCTAAGCCCCTGATGGCCGGGGCACCTCTTCGCCCTCCCCCGTCCAATCCCTCTGACAACATCGTCGCCGACTTCGGGCCCACCTTGCCGGACGACTTGATGCCCTTGCGGATGCAGATGTAGACGACCGTCCAGGCCAGCAGCAGGCAGAGGGCCATCCACCACTTGATGCCCTGCGGCTGCTCGATGGCGGGCGACGCGTCCAGCGTGTTTCGGTACCAGAAGAAGGCGGTCTCCGAGGACTGGGCGCACTCGAGGTTCACCGTGCCGTTCGGGCCGTCCTGAGGGCAGCTGGACCACGGCAGCTTGGCCTGCGAACGAGCACATTGGACAGGTCAGTAGGGACTGCCGCCGTAGGAAACTGGACTTTGGAGGGTGTCCTGCGAATGGAAACAGTGGATAATTGTAGGGGCTCTTGACCGCGACCGCGACAGCTTGGCTTGCGAGCCAGGGCAGCGGAGAGGTCTGTCCATGGCTGGTCGTATCGTGTACGGATGTGTTAGGGATAGACCTAGTTACTCCGCAGAGAACCAAAGCCGGTGAGGGGCCATAACGGTTTCTCAATGCGTTCCTTTCTAAGCACGGTCATAAAACTTATATAACGTTTCGCACATTTCGGTGGAGAACATGTCTCCCCCTCCCTACATGTGGCGGGGGCCGACCTCAGGGCCAAGCGCACCGGGTCATGGCGCCAGAACTGCGCCGATTGGTAGCACAGACAGTGAAGAGATTGGAAATAAATTATGAGAGACGCCGTGGAACTCGTTACAGACTGAACAGACGACGTGCTTAGCATGTTTAACTATTCGAACGTGACGAATGCACCGCGAATGAAACGGCTGAATAGAACGGCACTGGGTTTGCTTTTCCTAATAAACCACACGAACCACTCTGCGCTGGCAAGATATGCAGTTTGCACGGGCGGGTTGCACTGAAGTAAGAGCTGCAACACACGCCATACATTGCACAGACCGGACAAACTAGACAGGCTGAGCAGACTAGACTAGGCATAGTAGAAGCACCCACTGCTGTTGAATGAGCGGATAGGCCGCGGCTGGCACAGCAGCCCTAACGTGTCAGGGAATCGTCAGAATGGGGATGCGGACCCGGACACCGTGTCTTGCCGATGGAGCCAAGAACGACAGATTGCGTCAGCGGGCACTGATCTACGCTGGTGCAGCGTAGATCTGCTGATGCAGGTCTGATCTACGCTGGTGCAGCAGCGGCAGCACGTATTCCGATTATCTGTTAAGGCAGGCAGAACTGAAAACGGTACCGTATAGGAGCATCTGCGGGCCGATGGATGGCCTGTTGGAAGTCGTTTTTGCGAAGTAAGCTCCATGTTGTGCCAGCACCGGCCGGACGAATGCAGAGCACAGTGGAGCGATCGAATTTCTTTTGAACGCGTGGCAGCAGCAAACTATTAAAACGTATTTTCAGGACAGTTATTTACAAATGTTGTTTTTGTGGCGCGTGGCAGAAGGAATCTGTTTGACTTGGCATTTATTTTGGCTTGTGTTTATGCATTTTCCTGCACAGCGAGCGTTAACAACCCCTGTAAGACAACGCCTGGGGTTTCTCACAGCCTGGATTTTGCATCATCAGTTATGTCTTACGTTTCAAAGACGTGTCAGTGGAATGTCACAATAAAATAGCGATTCTGCGCAGCTTTCGAAAATATTAACTCCTCGAACTTGATTTTCGAAGGCACCGAAACACAGCTACTGACGCTTTTTGCACGTCGCCGAAAGTCCAAAATGATGCCAGCATTTGATGTGAACACTGCGCGAGTCTCGAAGCAGCTTAATTTGCACCGCTCCACGGGTACCGGATCCACAGAAACCGGATCCTGGTACCACGGAAACCGGATCCTAACATCACCCAGCCCGGGAATCATTTCCAAGTCCGCCACGATCGTCTCCGCCTCGCTGCACGTGCGACGTGGCTGCGGTCAATACCGGCTGCCCGGCGCCGCCAGCGAGCCAGCGCAGCCCTCCGCCGCGAGCGAGCCTGCACTCCCGGCGCGACCGCGCCGCATCGGTTCGAACCACGCGCCGCCGCCGTCGATCCGGCTTTCGCGGCGGCCCCCCCGTCGTCTGCGACGCAGTTCCATGGTTGACCCGCCCCGGCGGCGGCCCTTCTTGCGCGGCGGCGGGAGCGACCCGGGCGGCAAGGTCGCCGGCGGCGGCTGACAATCGATCGTCGACACCGACGGCTGCGCAGCCGCAGTCGACGGCGGCGACCACGCCCGGTCGCGGCCGGTTCGGACCGGCTCGAGGCAGGCGGGTTTGGATCCGAGCGGAGGGGGAGGGCGGGGGGGAGGGGTTGGAACGCGAGGGACGCTGGTACCGGTGGCCAATGAGGCACCGGTCCAGGGGCGACGCGCGGGGCACAGGCTGTACGGATGCTGTGACGTTTGGCTGATCTGTCCAGGCAGCTCACGACTCGTGTTTCTTTCTCGCGTGTTCATTCCCCAGTGGCCAAGCCCAGTATGTATGGGCAACAACAACCGTTAGTCGTGACCTAGGCAAACTTCCGTGGACTTAGCAAACCTTTTTGACCATGTCTCTAATTTGCGTCACGCGACGGTAGCTCTGCCAACTGCAGTAGTAATAAATGACCCAACTGTGGACCCGCACAACCGACGGCTGACGTAAATGGTTCATGAATCTGACCAACCGTGAGTTGCGACTTAAACTGTCACCGACAGTGGTGATGTGAGGGCATACAAGAGGAAAAAATGAAACCTTATGTTCACAGCAAGAGTTGTGAGGCAGTGAAGCTCTGTTTGAACCGCGAACCACACGGTCTACTCACGGTGAACGAGTTGAAGAGATAGTAGAAGCACCAGCTGATGATCACGTTGTAGTATAGGCCGACAAGGAAGGACACGACCGTAGACGAGAGACCAATCCCACCTGTGAATGATAGAAATTAGCTCTGAAGCGTTCGGCATGTAAAGCAAAGTGAAGAGGCTAGTATTGCCACGAGGTTCACTGAAGGTCAAACGCGCATGGAGTGCGGGAGCCCTGTCCTTTCTGAGACATCATGCTTGTTCATGCATTCGCTCACTCATTCAGTTAACTGTTCACCTTCTCTTCTTGTTATGAAGCAAATGCGCACACACACATGCATCGCAAGGAAGTATGCCTTCGTTGATTCATGGACCTTTACACTCAAACACGACCGAAACATATTGATGTATATATATATATATATATATATATATATATATATATATATATATATACGCGTGTGTGTGTGTGTGTGTGTGTGTGTGTGTGTGTGTGTGTGTGTGTGTGTGTGTGTGTGTGTGTGTGTGTGTGTGTGTGTGTGTGTGTGTGTGTGTGTGTGTGTGTGTGTGTGTTCTGTTCACGGAGGGACCAATCCAGGGACGGTGTCAGCCATGGGTTCCCGGTACAGGAGCACCTGGACCAGGTCGGCACGGAGTTCACAGCATCGACCGGGGCCTGCCCAGGACGCCTGACACCTCGCGGCCATCCGCCCTGGAGCTGAGACCTGAGTGCCACTCCGACGGCGGTGGCTACTTAGAACGCGCCGCGTCGCCGGGGGGTTCCGGCCTGAGCAGGGCCGGCGGTCGATGGCAGACCGTTAGCAGGCGCCAGGCCTGCTCCCCCCCCCCCCCCCCCCACATACAGCCGCCCAGACGGAGGCGGTGCCGGGGGTGACGTTGGCAGAGGTGAAAAAGCTTCTGATGTGCAGGATATGATTGGTGACAAAAACGAGCACCTTTGCGAGGTATTTGGTGACGCAGTTGGGAACATGGAGACAAATCATAGCAAATATCCCAGCCAGAGGAAACTTAAATATTGGCATTGGTCTGTACTCGCTAACGCTTGCAGCGTGAGTTTGTGTAGAGCATGTGTCGAAACATTGAAGTTGCGCTGTATGAGTAAGTTGGGTCCCAAAAGGTTGCCAAGTATAGTAGCTTTGACCAGGATAACTTTAGCAGATGACCGGAACATACTGCAAACCATATTACACCGGTGCTGATGTCAGAGATCAGTGGCGACACTGTGCTTTTGCAATGACAGTGTTTTCGACAGATTTTTCAGCTAAGATTCGCTTTTCATACTCAACAGTATAACATATGAAAATATTAGGCTTGTTTCTCGTGAGAGCTGTGGCCGACCCCAGCACCTTTAGTGCAATCAAAACAGTTTCACCCCAGATTTCAACCATTTTCGCCTCAGAGTTAAGAACAGGGGCATAGGTTTCAAAATTGGTTCGAGGGGGGCTTAACTCTAAGAACTGATGAGTGATGAAACGTGATGACTTCAAAATGGTTAATGAAGATAGGAAAGTCCATTTTCTTACCACCCACGTCCTCGTCGGATCACGGTATTAGTGGCTTTGTTCAAAATTGCTCCTTCGTTGGCCAACGAGTCAGCAGGTTTGCTCCCGTGATTGAAACTGACGTCACTCAATCCCCAGCGCTGATTCAGGTCGTGAATTTGTCACACAACACCAGTGTCACCAGCCTCCATTTTAGCAGAACGGGTAAGGATCTGACCGTGAGGCACGCCTGCAGCAACTGCTGACGTGATCCTGATGTTCGGCTTGCAGTGAGGCGGGTCTCGCGACTTCGTTCGTGGTCCGAGGCTAGTAGACTGTGCACAACCTCCAGCGTTTTCAAATTACAATTAGGTCTCCAAAGTACGATTAGCTTAGCATGCCCCCCCCCCCCCCCCCCACACACACACACCGGTTTTCGAACGATACCGCTCCGGCATGTCATGCAATCGCGTACAAACCTTCAGTAACCCTCGGGCACTCATTGCCCGTGTTTTGACACCAAAAACGCGTCCCTGGCAACCCTGCTTTCTAAGTAGCTGCTGGCTTATAGGAACGCTGTACGGTGATCCACAGCTGGTGCGGGTAACGGGCGGCAATCGGCAATGTGCGTTACGCCGTTACGTCAGCGGATGCCTACACCACAGGTATGTGGGTGGAAATACAGTTATTTCAATTTCGTGTCACTTCTGCGCATGATCTGATAAATGAGGGTCTGCCAAGTTTTAAAATTTCGTTTTGCAGGAAAATTTGGCCTTTTGACCAGGCCTAGCAGGTTCGATTATTTACATATTATGGTTGTGAGGCCGCTGGCCAAGCATGTTCTCGCTCTTCCCCGTACATCTGACGTACTTGAACCGAGGCAATGTGCTCATCAGCCCTTAACCCGCTGCGTCGGTTACTCATGCCCTAGAACCTACACAATAACCACCGGGGCTTATGGCATGGCCGGCAACTGCTTCTTCAGCGCGAATCTTCCAAAGCATAGGTAGGTATGATGTTTGTGACTCATTGCATTTCATTCATCTCTGATTTATGTGGTTTATCGTATGTATATCTTCTTGCGACGGTTTCTGATAGATTCGGCTCCATGTGACAATTTAAGCTCTTCCAAGTTTCGTCGGTGACAGAACAGTTCATTTTTCACCGCTGGTGGTTGGCACGACAGCAGAGGTCGGACTTTGTACGTCGGAGGTGTTTAGTTTCATACCGCTCGTGTCGGACCGGCCCGAAGTAGCGACCCTTAACACGTCGGTGGTTTCCGTCGCTAATGGTGGGCTTTGACAGGAAGTCAGAAAATTTAAATATTTTGCCTACTGGTTGGTATACGTCCCTGTTGCCGATGTGGTTGCGCTCACGGGAGCTGATTGCAGAATAGTGTGTCATGACGTCATGTAGAAAATTGCGATTTGAATTAGCCGAAACACATGCGTAACACCTACGTTACATGTTACATTCCTCACAATACCCGGCACACTCTTACAACAGAAAACTGGGCGCCACTACAAACTGATTTACAGTTTTCTAAAAAAATAAATCGCTATTATAATCACATAAATAGGTAGTCTTTGGTGAACAAGCTCCCTTAAATCCGCGAAATCTCCCCTTGTCAGCTTTGCATAACTCCGCGCGCTTCTATTCCCGCCATAGAATGGGGTGCTTTCTGGGCATGCAAATGAGATGGTTTGAAATTAGCTACGAGATGGGCACGGTTTAACCTACTAGTCTGTATCAATAGACAGGAAGTTATGGCATGCAATAAGCTCAGGACGCCCCGCTGGACGTCCCCTGTTGTTCATCCGGCATGAAACCAACAGTGTATTTTATCCTGTTGTGGGCCGTAGGTTATGACGGCAATGGTTTCAAACCACGCCGTTCAAATGGGTTTGATACAAACATTCTTTTCAATAGCTTTACCAGAGCGCACATTTTCGATAACTTTCGATATAATCAGCTAATACCCAGCTTCGCTATAGAAATTCACCAACCTGCGTGAACTGTTACTACGTCCGGCATCTAAACCTGGGCCAGGTAAAGATTTACGGACACTGTGATCAGCCGCACCTGGCCCAGCTTGGCAGCCCAGACCCTCACCGATCAGGGGGTGTATGGAGCTCCACATCCGGGCGAGCCCTTCCCAGCTCGGCAGCCCAGACCCTCACCGATCAGGGGGTGTATGGAGCTCCACATCCGGGCGAGCCCTTCCCAGCTCGGCAGCCCAGACCCTCACCGATCAGGGGGTGTATGGAGTTCCACACCCCGAGCGAGCCCTTCTCACCCCGGCAGCCCAGACCCCCACCGATCAGCGGGTGTATGGAGTTCCACACCCCAAGCGAGCCCTTCCCACCCCAGCAGCCCAGACCCCCAACCGATCAGCGGGTGTATGGAGTTCCACACCCCGAGCGAGCCCTTCTCGCCTTGGCAGCCCAGACCCTCACCGATGAGCGGGTGTATGGAGTTCCATACCCCAAGCGAGCCCTTCCCAGCTCGGCGGCCCAGACCCCCACCGATCAGGGGCTGTATGGAGTTCTACACCCCAAGCGAGCCCTTCCCACCCCGGCAGCCCAAACCCTCACCGATCAGCGGGTGTATGGAGTTCCACACCCCGAGCGAGCCCTTCCGGAGCCGCTGTCCGATGGCCAGCTCCATGTAGAACAGCGGGATGCCCTCCACCAGCAGCATCACGAAGTACGGGATCAGGAACGCACCTGAAGCGGAGGACAACAGCCGTGAGCCGGGACCGTTCGCAGCATTCGGCGAGCGCTCAGTACGCGCACGGCAAGATACGGGTTGCAAGCAGCTGGCTGGTTGTTGTCAGAATACACAGCTGGCATGTTTGTATGTCAGCAGAATAGAGCAATTGTGCACAAATCAAAGTTTTGGATGACCAAATAAATCCACGCACAAGGTAGGTTCTGCACGTCGCTCCTCTGGTAGGTAGCAGTTGAAATGCTATAGTGAGCGACGTGTTTTTTCTGCAGTTGCATTAAGTTGCTATGGCGAAGAGATCTTCCACTTAAAAAACAGTTATTACCTTTATGAAAGACGTGAAAAGCACCGACAAATGAAAGACTCACAAGAGCTGGAAGATGCAGCTGTACACACTAACTGTGGACAACCGGCTGATAAAACGTTGAGGAAACAACCTCAGACATGACAGGGGAAACAAACAACCACCATGAAAAACGGACGCAGCTGTGCATCGTTGCCGGCCCGGCAGCCAGCCGCTCTCCGACCACTCCCCACCCGTCAGGCATGTGCTTATTGCGAGGGTGACTTCCGGGCGTCGTTTCCGGCGCGACGCCCCCCGGCCGGCGGCCGGCGGCCGGCGCCGCGTGTCTGGGCAGGGGGCCAAGTAAGCACAGACACCGGCCGGAGTGCGCCGCGCCGCCACCTGCCACCGCGCCCGCACGCGGCCCCAGAGACGCCGGCGAGCACCTCCACCTGCCGCCCCACCGCCTCCAACCAGAGGTGGGCGGGCCCGTGCTGATGCCCTTCCCGCCACCTGCCACCAGAGAGAGTTTCAAGAGCTCCGCCTGCCGACAGCCACATTGAATCCAAGAATGGACCGATGCGTTTAAACGAACGGCTCTTGGCGTGCCGCGTATAAGGGCGGCATCATTTCTGGCCGCCCTCTCTGGATGGCGATGAGGTAAATGCTGCTCCGGTGTGCTTTTGTTATGCAAGCAACAGATGCCGGTGCTTTGTCCTTTCCCTCAAGAAGTTTCGATAGGCGAAAGTTGGAGAATGGCTTGAGTCCAAGTTGGGAGTGGGGGAAAAAGAAGCCCTCCCCTCGCCGGCGGAATAGGAGGCTACGCTGTTGCTTGCAGCCGTTTAGAATTGGAGCAGTGCCAAAGGTTTTAGCGCTTTTTTATCTCTCACATCTGTTACCTGCTATCCTCTGGCAAATAGTGAGATTAAGGACGTGGCTGTCGAGAAACGGCGTGCTGAGACCGAGCGTTCGGCATTTTGTGTTCACAACGAGAATCTTTACGTCCTGTAACCAACAGAAAATGACAAAATGACAAAAAAGGATAGCTTTTATATCAACTCAATGACGTCTTACTGAGGTAACCTTGCTGAGACGCAGCGAATCCTCCACAAATCACCCACCCACATGCTAAATCAAATGCGACATTCAGTTGTGGGCAGCGTCAGGCTCCTATTCATCCTCCCACGCGCCTGCCAAAAGGTCATCGTTCGCCTGGCAGCGCAGGGGCCGCTCGATCGGCGCCGCGCGCGGCGTCCCTCTGCGGCGCGCCCAGCCCGGCTCATCGCCGCCGCCGCCCAGCATCGATCTCGTGGCAGAACACGTGCGGCCCGGCCTGGCCGCGCGCCGCCCACGACGGAAAATTCCGCCGCTGGCGCCGTTTCCGCCGACCACCCCCGCCCGATGGGATGCGTGCGGCGCGCGCAACGCCGCGGCAAATATAGCTCCGGCGCTGGCCGTCGGGCACCGGTTGCCTTGGCCGCCGGCGCCCTGACCTCGTGACGTGGGGCTTCCGTCAGAGGGGCGGAGCCGTGACGCCGCGGCTGGGTGACGCGCCGCGCGCGGGTGGCCGCTGATGCGGCGCCGTAGAGCCGGGGCGGTTGCAAAATCAGGCACATGACACGCTGGACGTAAGGCGTGGATCTGGGGCACGTCTGCGGGCGTTTTGCGCGCTCGATTTCGTTTCTATATTCGTGCTAAGGAAAAGGTTGACGACGGAGGCATCTAGCGCTGTCCCTAAGATGTTGTCTAGCGTTCATCCGACCACGTTTTCCGTACGTCAATCTCTCGACAGGGCTCAGACGATCGACTGTTTCCATGGTAACAGTGTTTCCATGGTCGTTGAGGAAAGCTGCCGGGATTGCGTGAGCTTAGCTTAGTACACAGAACGGTGCACTGAAATAGCAAACATAGTCCGGGTGAAAATGGCGCCAGTTTGAGTCACTTTCTCTGGACCGGTCTCAAAAGCTAGTTTTAAAAGTACGCCACTGGTTCATGGGCAAAACGGCTACGTTTAGTTGGTTGATCAGCATCATGTTCCAGTCTGTCGATGATGTTCAGTGGAAACGGCGAGAAGAATGTCTCGACAAAATACAACAAAAATAATGCCCTACGTCGTGTCTGAATGTGTATGGTTGCCTCGAGGTCATCTAGATCGCACTGATCAGTTCAATAACTAAGTATATATATATATATATATATATATATATATATCGCATGACATGCTTTAGATAACGTTTGCGAGATATATTTAGTTACACAACATTATTGGGGCAATTTCGTAGCATCGAAACAAAGATGCGTCTATCTAAAATACGAAAGTTGTTGATTTATATAGAGTTGTAATATGTGCTACTTCATAAACAAATTTCAGGTGGAAATCCTTCAAGCTAGCAGCTCACGTTTCATCCTCGCGTTTCCTCAGTTTCCCGGACGAGCATTGTTACATTTTTTACAACATGCATTTTAAAAACTATTTTCTTCCCACGTCGAATGCAAAGGTGAAGCCGCTGAGTCCTGGGATTCTCCCGGAGCTGAATCAAATGATGAATCAATTGTTTTGGAAAGAGCATATTTCTGTCCAATGTTTCTGTCTCAATGTGCCTTCACTGATCTGCTGAAAGGCAGAATGGGGGCATTTTACGTCCTGTGACAATTTGTAAACAGATGCAGACAAAGTTGCAACTCCTCCAACATTCTTAAAATGACTACGCAAATCTAACTATGCGATCAACCACGCATAGTCGTGTTGAGCAATACCAGACAGACTTCAACTGCTCAGCCTACATAGATGCACCATGCCGGTAACAACAGTCGACAGAAATGGTGGAGCGTTGTATGTTCACGCTGGCTTAAGTTAATGCGAAGATAGTCTGTCAGATATCCAAAGGTGAACTGCCAGACATCCCCATTCTACCTATAGTAGCAGGCGTCTTTCATCTCTTCCTGGCCGCGAGACAGAACAGAGACAGTCACCATCTGGAGGCTCCGTTTCGAGAGAACGGCGGTGTTGAAGCAAAAAGCATTTGCGTTCGACCAGGAAGAGGAAGAGCAAGCGTAGGTGGCAGAATACGACAGAGCGACAGCCCGAGCCTTAAGTTTATCACCGGTGCCCTGCAAAATCTCTCGTCTGTTCCTTTGGACCCGAAAGTGTCCAAAGCGATCATGTCATCCTGGGCACGCAGCTGTGAGCTGGCGACACAGGTCTGGAAGGTCTACGCAATAGCCCACTTCATGACACCCCGCCTCACTCCGCCCGGGTCGCGCTGGCTGGCACGCGCCGCGGCGGCTGGCGGGCGGTCACGAGCGGCTGGGCTGGGCTTGGAGCGCGGGACGCCGACGACGGCGCCCCATAGGTTTCAGGAACAAGTATTACAGCGAAACGGAGGCTCGTGGGACAGAAAGCGAGCCAAGACAGATGCAGCCATTCATTCCGCTTCTACGGTTTTGTTGATGGAGGCAGGTAAGGCAACGTTGTGCAGGATACGTATCTATCCTTCCCTTTTTGCAGATGCAGGCAAGAATCGACGCCACCCAATCTCACAAGATATGGGAAGCGACAACCGTATCCAATGCACCTACCTCCACCGTTCTGCTGACAGAGGTAGGGGAAGCGCCAGACATTGCCGAGACCGACGGCGTATCCAATGACGGAGAGCATGAACTGCAGCTTGTTGTCCCAGCTGGCGCGCTGCTTCTGCACGGTGACCTGGCCGGTGGTGCCCCCGGCGTCCGTGATCTGGATCGGGTCAAACTCGGCGTTGCCCACGCCCGAGGCGTCCGACCCCAGCGACGAGTTGGACTCAGAGGGCCTCATCATCGGAGAGAATGGCAGCAGGCGGGTGCAGTGCAGGCAGAGGGCGTGCCCTACCGCGGCGGTAGCTCCTGTCGTCTGTCGTCTGTCTTCAGAAGCTCAGGTGTTCCTCGGGGCAAGCGTCTGTAGCGGGCACGAGCTGCCTCCGCGGACGATGTTAGCGTACTATGCTGTTGATATCACGCTGCGCCGAGCCTGGCTCGGGCATGCGTATAGCCGGCCTCCTCCGGTTCTGGAAAATCGATGACGGCGCCGTCGATGACGGCGCGCACTGGCGGCGGGCGCATGAAGGGCGAGGGTCGGGCTATTTTGGGAGGCATCAGGTGTGTCTGAACGCAACCAGTCCGTCCAGGGGGACACTGCCAAGTGCCGGCTGGACCCAGTGTTTTTCCGTCCGGGCAGACACCGCTGAGCCTCAGCTGGTCTCGGTGTTTTCCGACCGGAATATCCTGGGCAATCAGAACATTACGTCCGAACGGATGATTAAGTGTTGCCTATTCATTCATAGTTATTTTTATGTTCGTTTCATTCTGCTCTATTCCATTTATGTCTTTCGCTTTATCGTTTATCATTTCATTTTATCTCATTTTCAATGTTTCGTACGCGCTCCATCGCGTTCACGGGTGTACCGGTAACTCACGTGCGGTCACGCTTCGTCCTCTGCTGGTAACTCACGTGCGGTCACGCCCCATCCTCTGCTGGTAACTCACGTGTGGTCACCCCCGCCCTCTGCTGGTAACTCACGTGCGGTCACCCCCCGTCCTCTGCTGGTAACTCACGTGCGGTCATGCCCCGTCCTCTGCTGGTAACTCACGTGCGGTCACGCCCCATCCTCTGCTGGTAACTCACGTGCGGTCACGCCCCATCCTCTGCTGGCAACTCACGTGCGGTCACGCCCCGTCCTCTGCTGGTAACTCACGTGCGGTCACGCCCCATCCTCTGCTGGTAACTCACGTGCGGTCACGCCCCATCCTCTGCTGGTGACTCACGTGCGGTCACGCCTCGTCCCTTGCTGGTAACTCACGTGCGGTCACGCCCGTCCTCTGCTGGTAACTCACGTGCGGTCACGCCCCATCCTCTGCTGGTGACTCACGTGCGGTCACGCTCCGTCCCCTGCTGGTAACTCACGTGCGGTCACGCCTCGTCCCCTGCTGGTAACTCACGTGCGGCCACGCCTCATCCCTTGCTGGTAACTCACGTGCGGTCACGCCCCGTCCTCTGCTGGTAAGTGTAGCCACGCTCATACAGCATGTGTGCGGACTAACGCGGTTTCAGATCAAACCTGACCTGGTGCCGCATATGGCGTCAGACGCCTGTTTGTGTCCACGCATTTGCTCCCAATGCAGCTAGCGAAAGTCCAGAAGACGCCTAAAGAGGCAATCGAACGGAATGCTATTTCACGTGTTCGGGAAAAGTGCCAGAAGTGAAGTGAAGGATGTCCATTTAGGCCGCGGAATTTTCCCGTCCCATTGTTGAGGAAGTGTGAGATGTCTTCGCGAGATGAACCATTCCTGATATCTGGTGAGTCGTAGCTATATTAGGCACAAGAATGCACAACATTTTATTCAATGCTGATGACGTTTTTTAACCGCACGAACAGCTTTGAATTTTCCCATACGCGCCACTGTGACTGCTGTACTGCAAACCGCTGAAAAATGCACAATTGTACACAGGCACCCACGCTTAATGACCCATGGACGCCTTTACTTCTATGAGCACATAAAAGTAAAGGCGCTTAAGTGTAATCGTGAGGTAGTGAGGTGGTACAGCTCATTCCAGAAACTTATCATTCATTTTCGTTGGTTTTAAATGTAACATCCGCGGACTCATGTAGGCTCAGTTTGCGAAAATGAACATAACACAAATGGACGAAGAAGCCGCCCAAAATTTGAACAACGCATTGCTCCGACTTAACCACAACTCTGAAACCGACCTCATACACCCCATGGTAGATGAAACGCCAGTCAAGGTCCACCCCACGTTCTCACCCACGTTACGCCATTTATAGATTCCCGTTGATTAAATGGACCAGCCATACTGTTCGTTGACACTATTCCACTCGTCGATCCCTACAGCTGTATTTCTGTCCCTCGGAGCTTCAAGCACGGTCTGACGCGTAAGATGACGTGTCTGAGGGGTGAGCTGTGGCTGGTCACGTGTGTATGTAGCCTTTCGTGTCAGGCCATTTGTCCGAGTGGTGAGCTGCGTCAGGTTACGTCTATGAGCGGTGACCCGTGTCAGGTCACGCGCCTGATCGGTCTGATGTGTTGGATCATGGGTCTGAGTGGTATTCTGAACTGTCAGATGACATTTTTGACTTCCGGTCCGGTCCCAAGACAAGCCTAGAAGGCCCACGACAAGCCGAAAGGCTAACGGGGACGTTTCTTCCCTAACGTTGCGTTGTCGTTGATCTTAAGCAGTGCTGAGCATTTGTTCAAAATTGAATCACTAGACGTCCGTTGAAGGTTCACAGCTAAATAGTTGCATCAGAATAATAACTCATTAACTTTAATTACTCAAAAGCGCCTTGATCCATCACTAATTTGGTCTGACGCTCATTAATACGCCTTTTGTAAGGAGTTGCAAATTCTTCTTAATCTTAAAGTTTTGAAAAAAAAACAGCAAGCAATTCATTCTTTTTCGCGAATAAATAATCTTTTTTCAGAGCAGGCCCTCGGCGCTGCTTTTGTAACACATGTGTGCATTTCAAAGGCACTTGTTCTTAGGCGAGTGAAATAGTACTTCTTTCCACCACTAATAAGTATTCTACAGCTGGAACTACGACCAACATTCATTGGGAATTACCGGTGACGCAGTCCAGTCTCACCTAACTAAGTGCGAATTTGGGGTTGCAACACAGAGCAGTGTTTGTTTTGGACACGATCAAGGCAATACTTGGCAGCTCCCACCCCACCCCCTCGCCACCACCTGAATCACAGTGGGACACTGACGCGGTGTGGGCTCTTGCGTAACTGCTCACGTGACTACTACATACTATATATGAGGAACTATTTCTCGAAACAGCCGTTTTCACGATGGATTGATATGCTGAAAAGCTGTTGCAATGTTTCTAAAAAGCGTTTCGGAAGTTCTAGTATGTACTAAATATTTTAGGAAGGAAATGATTGTCCACGTAATATCGTTGATATCGAGTAGCTAAGTCACGTTGGTTGAACTCAGAATAAGTTCATTATATCAAACGAAACACTTAATACACGCTTCTTTCTCCAGTCCATGCTTTTAGCTTACCCTCATTCTAGCATAATACCCCGATTGGCAACGGCGGAGATCTGGTATTGGGCGTTGTATGCTGGTCACGCCATTGTTGCTTACTTTGGTGTCGTGTGGAGTAGGGCTTGCTTTGAACATTCCTGCATTGTTCTCATGTTTTGATATGCTAGCTCTGTAAATTCTGCATACTTATGAACAGGAACGCGGCCAGGGTATAGGAGCCTCTTTTGTCGCGTCTATGCCATACATTTCACCGAATCTTTTTTAAATGTTCAGAAATATTTCAGCAGGAAGAGACATGGCTTCTTAAATGCTGGTATAAGCGTGATTTTGTTGACAGCTAGGAAACCGCAATTTCAACACATACGCCCAAACAAGCATGAAAGTTGTCAAATTTCTGCACAGCATATCTAGCCGAAAATCCATCATGTATCGCCTGTATCGTTAAGAAATAAACGTAGAGCAATTCTTTAAGTTTTGAGAAATCTCGTACCGTAATCTTTCGTGAAAATGGCTAATCTTCCATTTCCAAATTGTCGCACTTTTGCTATGGGCAGGACACCTTATTGTTTCGTACTTTCGGCAAACTTCAGAATTGGCATGCGACCTGCTTTGGTGGTAAATCACTTCTTTGCATGAACGCCATTTAATCCGACAGCGTGCAGCGATCATCCCTTAATGACAATTGCTGGATATGCGCTGTGAGACGCATGAAACGGCACGTGTGTAATGCCCGTTTATAGCTTACTAGTAGGCTTATGTGTACGCCGAATACACGGTCGCCTATTGCGACGACCAAAGCGTTGGAGGCTACGACCAGAACAGCTACCAGTTGCGCAACCCTCGTCGTACTCACGTGGTTGACCGGCAAGCCTAGTGTATGGGAGTAGGCGCTCCCGCAGCGTTAGGCCTCTAGGCAGCCCGACGGAGACCTCGTCAGCTCTGGAGGAGTCGCCGGAGAGGTGGCGGAACGGGTGGCGCCGGGAATCGCTCCGGCGCCGGCAGGCGCTGAGCTGCAGGGGTGTCGATCTTGTAAAAGATTGGGGGTAGTGGTCAACTGGTGTTTATATCATTTATCATAAAGTTCTTAATTTAAGCATCACAGAAATCATGCATGAGTGGATCCAGGTGGGGGGGGGGGGGGAGGATCAGGATGTACGTGCCCCCTTTTGATCAGAACAAAAAGGGGCCCCTTTACAGGCCATCTTCGGGCGCCGAAAGCGTGCCTCTACGCCAGCCATGGACGGTGGCACTTATATTTGGTTGTGGGGGATGGGGACAGGCTTAGCTATAAAGGACTTTAGCCATGGCCGCACTCCAGAACTTTTCAGCTTAACCTCTCGAACCTTTGCGTGTCTCAGGAGGCTACGTGTATGGAGTTTGTTGTTTCGCTTATTAGCTAGGATGCTGCATTTTTTACTATTACGGCGAGCAAAAGCAATTTTTTATGACGATGAGAACGGGCGCTCTAGTGTTGGAAGATGCAACGCTATATGAGACGAAGATCCGCTTTTTATGGGCCGGTAAACATCCCACTACATCCACGAATCCAGCTACCGGGTTTGCGGGCCAAGTCGCTCGGCTAAATTGCAAAGCCTTCACAATTTTCTATTTTACCTTGGTTTGAGGTCACATCGCCACCATGTAAATAGCGTTTCTTGGATTGTTTTATATGAAATGTCTGTTATATTAAAACTGGTTTATTCAAGATACGATTTTAGTATGACGTGCAGGCGGCGCACGGGAATTTTGGGCCGCCATACCACATTTTTTAAAGACAATCTTACGTAATGTCATCAACTGTTCATTCTGACTAATCCTTGGATGGCATTGAGGCTGGAAGCAAACTGCTTCAATTAAATA